AATGTTTGAAAAAATCAACAACTCAATTTCTAACAACTGACCAAGTTGATAAAAATGTTGAATTTTCGGTGCGAGAAATGATTAAAACAATTTCAGGAGGGTAAGGATTTTTGTCTTGTTTGTGCAAGACAAAAACTCCTTGCCAATCAAGTAGGTGTACTTGTTTTAAAAACAATATGATATGTAACAGTCGATGCCATAATCATTTATCGTGTAAAAATAAATAATAAAGAAGAAAAATATATATAGGTATAGTTATGAAGTATTAAGAATATTTCATAATGAATGCTTCATAGGTAACACTGTTGTTTATAAAAAATAATATACGTATGAGTATGGTTTATAAAAAATAAAATAAAAATATAATGTAATATGATATAATTTATTAAAATTATAATTATTTTTATATTTTTGTTCATAGAACAATATAGAAAAGTATAGTTATAGTACTATGATATGTGGTTTTATAATAATTACACAAAGTGCACAATATAAGTATTATCCATTTCATGAAATAGATGTCCATATAATGTATTTTCGTCAAAATTCACGATCTGGACGAATTTCATTTTTTCAATTTCTATTTGGATATTCAGTTCATGAAATGAGTGATTTCACTATTTGGATGTGACATATATACAATTATTTCGTTTGGGCACTGAAAAGATATTTTTGAAAATTATTTTTCGTTTTATTCACAGAAAATCGATAGTTATTTGTATGTTATATTAGACTGTTCAATAAATGTTAATTATGATAAAAAAAAGTAAATTTATGTTTTCGGTTTGGATATTTTATGTAATTTTAATTAATAAAAAAATTATTTATTTTTATAATCATTGTGGATATGCTATTCCTTTTGATGGAAAGTTTGAAAACATTTTACGTTCTATTTTTATATCTAACCCACTCGTGTAATTATTGGGGAATATTATCTTAAGTGCCAAATTATAGAAGTACTTATGGAATTTATTCATCATCTTTTCAAAGTGCAAAAACCGATTCTGCCATGTCCCCCGTCCACCCTTAACGAAAATTTCGATTATTTTTCCCAAAATCCATACTACGAATAACAAATATATTGTTGTATAAATAACTGGATGTTTATTATACCCGACTAAATGTCGTATGCATACATTTAAAAATAAAAATCTGTAGATTATGAAGTAGTCAACCTACTCGTATATTAATAAACTGTACAAAATTGCTAATAGAATATTCAAAGCCAATTTATAGTTTAACAAATAATAATAATTATCAACTAATTTAAATTTAATTTATTGTACAGAAAAATTGTTTTCTTTAATTGTTGATCAAAATATGTACGTAAGACTTATAAATTGCATTAAACAATAAGAAATATATATTTTTTTACTAGGTACTGAGTTTTACTTTAAATTTAATAATTAAATTGTTGTGCAAAAACATTTTATTTCTATTTGTTATCACCCAAAGGGTAATGGCCATGGCATGTTGAGAACGTTAACTATTTCACGTGATAGGCGAAAGGGCCCTCCACCAATCGTTGGTGCTGCATCGTGGTCTAAATTGATAGATATCAAATTGAGTAGGCACCTAGAGGGCGAAAATTTGCGGCCGATGACATCACATATTATTACTAATATTATGAACACGGTGGCATAAATATATATGACGGAGTGGTACTTATCTTCTAGCCGTTGTCACGAATAGAGATGTCCCACTGGAAATGTACCTGGTAAAAGTTATTTTCCCCGGGAATTTTATTTTAGATTACTTTTCCAACTTTTCCCAATATTACGATTATTATTTTTGTACGCGATATATAAAATTGTTTTATTTTGAAAGACTGAATGCAGTATCTTGGTGTATATTAATATATCATTATTAATTATTACTAAATTTGTACTTAAAAAGAGTTTAAAAATATAGTTTTAAAATATTTAGTATTAATTGTACAATATTTTAATTTAAGTCTGAGAAATTATCCAGTTTAACAAGAAGTTAAATAATATTATATGAATTATTATTATTAATTTTTTTCTAATTATTAGTATAGTTACAAATAATATAAAAATAAAATAGTTTTGAATTTTAAATTAATATAAATTTTAAGTTATAACTATTTCAAAACGTCATATATAGTCAATTTGAAAAATAATTAAAATAAAACAAACATTTCCTACACTTTTCTGATATGGAGAATTTCCCGGAAACTTTTCTCGAACACGTTTAAGATTTTACTTTCCTGGCAAAGTGCCCATTCCTAGTCACAAATATTTCCCTAACCTCACCCAATCAAAATATTGATATGTTCGTGTCGATGTTGTCTAATAATTATTCAATTACGAGTAATGCTTATTTGTGGAAATATTATCCTTTAATAATTGTTAATTATTTAATAACGATTGTTTTTTTTTTCTAATATTTAAGTCCACATTACTAGACAATAAAGGGAATTCTTTTTTTATTAAACACAAAAAAATACCTTTATGTAACATGTTATAAAAGTAGATCATTTGTTATAATAACTGTTGTTCATTATTACGAACTCTTAAAGCGAACACGGTATTATTTTTTTCTGTTATTAAAGTTAATCCCTATATAAGTCGTACTTATACGTCATATTATATTTTTATATTTTACAAAGTAAGTATAATTGAAAAGAATACTTAATGTTTTCAATGTATTTATTTGACTTAGATACACTGATAGAATGTGGACAGATATTTAAGCCAATTATCGCAGTTTACGACCCCCCGAAATATGTAGTATGTATACTATCATTATAACCGAACAACTTTATATAGAGCAATAGATGTTCATACAATGTCATACTATTATGCACTTATCTAAACGTGGATGGTGGATTAATTGTATATTGTACATAACGAATCGTTTCGAATTACATTTGTACGATTATCATATGACTTAATTGTACTTCAAAAGTTGTTCCGGGTGAGTGTATAAAACACACACACGTACCAATGATATCAATATCTATGTATATGATGCGCAAAATATACTTTAAAATATGAAAAGAAAGTAATATATTCGACAGAGGCGTACGAATAAAATGCTTTTGAAATGAGTATTTTGATTTTCGCGTAAAAAGAATAACTAAATTCGAATAAATAGAATTATCTCAGCAACTAGATTTTATGTGTTTTTTTTTTTTTTACCAACAATTCAAAAAAATTAATCAATTTGAAAAGGTTGTACACCACGTATGCAATAAAATAATAATAATATAGACATACGTGTAACGACTGTTCTATGACTTAAGATTTTTGAACTTAATCTATGCCGGTCACCTGATACAGTATTATAAAATATTACCGGTCGATGAAAATATTTAAAATAACATTGGTATAGAAAAATATCATAATTAATATTTGTAAAAATATTGATAGTGTAAATGTATAATTATTAACAACAGTTGAATTAAACAAAATTATTAAATTATATCGGTTTCTTTACATTAGAATGATTTTTAGTTAGAATCATATTTCATTATTGTATGGCCAAAAGATACAAACATTTTCCAAGAACATAATAGCAGTCCTAGTTAATTATATGTATAGTATTAGTGAGATATTTAATGGGGCTGAAATTCACACATAGTATATTTAATACATATTATTTATAACAAACATTCTTAAACGAAAGTCATAAGAAATCTCTATTAAGGGTGTTAAAAGATGATCGTGGAGTGCAATAATAATCGGTTAAAATTATTAACACTTTATTTTCATATTCCACGGGATTTATTTGCGGAAGATTACTATGTATAAAATATATTTTAAAAACGTAACTCTATTTTGATTAAGGGCACGAGAAAAATGTAAACAATGGTTATCCAATATACTATTATGAAAATTACATGGTTAATCCTATTTTAATAAAATCGAAGATTAAGTAAGATCAGTGATCTATTTGAATTAAGTTGATGGATTTATTTCAATATTTAGTTACAATTTTACGAACGTCCTTTGAAAAGCTTAAAGGTTTATTATACCATAATATAAAAATAAATTGAAAATATAAATGTTTCGGCAAATTAACATTTGAGTGTACCTAGAATACAGAAGATGTAAGTACAATTTGTTGACAACAGCTAAGAGAATAATTTTCTAGAAGAAAATAAAAATATTACTGTGAAAAAAATGGAAGGACGTACTCGTAATTCATTGATTGTGATTTTAGGTTAGTGTTTTTATGTATTGATCGACCGACTGCACTTATTACATGCAAAATAATCATCTTAATATTTTAGTTGTACAAATAATTAATGAATTAATTATGAACAATATTGGATCAATTCATACATTTTATGACGATAGAGCTGTGAGAATCGAGTTCCCAAATTATCAGTAGTATATTTTTCAATACGTTTAGATACATATTATAATGTACTATGATTCTGCGAATACATTATCCGTACACATGTATTGATGTGCAGTACGTGACGATATATCAACCGTTTCACGTTTAAATATAATCAATATATGTTTATTTTTCCTTAAAAGTTTGTTCGACTATTTGTCCATGGTTTCAATTTACATATACCTATATTAGTTGGTAGTTTCATAACATTAATGTCAAAAACAGGCACAAATAAACATGATTTTTTTTGTTTATTAAATAAAACTTCCTAGTAAAAACATGGCATTTTTATGTATATACATATACATATTTTTACAATGCAGATGGATTTTAAATTTATTGTCTTTTTAGAAAAATAATCGAAAATCAAGTTTTCATTCAATACTCTTGAAACTGATAAAATATGTTTTAGGCACAATTAATTTTGATATCTATTTGATATATAATAATACTAAATTACGGGTGCCCGAGCAAAAATTCACTTAAAACCAATTGAAAAAAAAAAAAAAAAATTAACAAATGTTAGAATGTTCGACCAGGCCGATATTATTTTGGATTGTGTGCGTGAAATACGAACGAAAATAAAATATTACAAAGTTGATAAGGACTGTAGGGAAAAAAAAAATTAAAAATCATTTGGCGTACAAATACGGTTTTTACAAAATCAATAATCATTTAACAATAATACCTGCACAGTTGTACATACAACTCATATAGGAACAATAATATTCAATAAACGAACATTTAAAAATTACGAAAATGGTATCGAAATGTATGGACATTTTACGTTGAACACGGAGGCAATCGTTTGTCGCAAAATACGTCACGATGCAAAAGGGTGCGCGTACAGTATTTTAACATGTTGAAAACAATTAAAAAAAAAAAAAAAAAAAACAAAACGAAAATGATTTAATAATATGTATGCATTGTATAATAATTCGAGAGAAAGGATTTCCGCAGATCGACGACGAGAGCGAACGGGACGTAGACGACGTGAAATGCGTTTCACTCGCGCGTCCAAAACGTTTCCGTACGATTGGCAATCGTCATTAGAGTTTCGTCCGTTTTTTCACCGTCACGTCGGCGACCACGTCCGACTGCTGCTCCGGATTTCTGTCGACCGACGGGTCCGTCAACGTCTTCCGGTTCAGCAGATAGTCCAAGTCCTGCGATATCCGGTCCAGCACGTCGTCGGAGACGTCGGCCGAACACTTGTCCGCCACTTCCGTCACGGGCTGCTGCTGCGGCTGCCGGCACGGTTCCACGTCCACGCTGCACACCACGATCGTGGGCACCTCGGACTTGTCCGCAGCGGCGGTGGCCATCGCGGCGGTCGACGACTTGACTAGACCGACCTCGACGCACACGTGTGTGGCCAACATGTCCGGCGGCGGTTGCACCACGCACCTGATGGACGTGTCGCTCCCGGCGGGCACGTCCACGAAGTCAGCCTGCACCAATTGCCAATCGTCCACGATCGCGCCGCCGCCCGCGCCCGCGCCTCCCACGTTGTACGCCGCCGCCACGTCGGCCGTCGTCTCGAGCAGTGGCGAGCAACTGTTGCTGTTGTCGCCGTTCCGATAACTGTTTCCGTCACCGCCACTGCAAATGTTACCGTTACCGTTGCTGCAGTTGCCCCCGTCGTAACTGTCGTCCGTTTCGTGGCCGTCTATCGACTTTTCCTGGCACCCTGTGCAACAGTAATAGCAATCGTAAAACACGTATCGAAAAACTAAATCGTTGCATTTTTAGCTAAACGGCACCGGAATTCATTTTATTTTCTTATAGGGAAATGATATAAATATAACCGGTGAATAAAGAATTAAATCAGACATTTACTAACTCGTTGTTTGCATATAAAATTCTTATTATAGACTGTAATAAATACATTAATGAAAAATATAAATTGTAGATTGTATAGAGTTGCCTTAAATATGTGTTTATGTATTTCTCATTAAGACAGTTTTGATACAGCGAGGAGTCGAATACTGGTAGTTAAATTCAATAACTAGTAACTTCTGAGAAATGTAACATTAAATGCTACGAGCGTATAGCGCACGTGGACTTGTAATTATTATTAATTTTTTGAACTAAACGATTACGCTCAGTGTAGTTTCAATTCGAATATACCCCATTAAATCACCAGTCGAGTAGAACGGGGGTAAACTATAATCGGATTTTTTCCATGAATAAAATATGGTTACATTTAATACGTAGATTGTAATATTCACATTTCGCTTTAAATCTTTGACAGGTAAAAACCGAAATGTTTTGAAAATATTAAAAGAAAATTAAAAATATTTTCAATGCTGTGGATAAAATAAATACATAAATATGTATATAATTATATTTTTTCGTTTAAAAAGATTTAAGTTTAATTATACGAACAATATTATATTTAATTATATAAAATATTATATTTAATTATACGTACACTTAATATTTAGTAAATCCTATTTAAAAAGTAAGTCAATTAACAATATTGTGTTCAATAATTTGTTCTCAAAACGAAATGGGATCCAAAATGTAGTATTATTTGTTCTTATATGTATATCCTATATCTTTAGGATGATTATTTTACACTTATTTTTTCGCTACATTTTCTATGCGTTATAGGTTATTTAAAAATGAAATTAATTAAAAAAAAAAACCTTATTATCAGTCACTACTTTTAATTTATAATTTCTGAGTGAGTGAAGTAAATTTAATCTCTTCGTGCATATATTTTATAATATGTTTTAAAACGGTACATACTTGGTTTTAGATTTTTCACCACCAAAAATCAATAATATGAGTAAGATCAGGGATAAAGATATTCAGTTTTTACTGGATTTAGAAATACCGAGTGATTCAGAATTAAGTTTTTGTGGAAGCGATGATGATATGGATCATGAAGATGCAATTATAATAGGGCCAAAGGAAGAAGATCAAATCCTCAAAGAAATCAAAGAAATGGAAGACTTTCAACGAAACATGATGACAGAATTAGAGAAAGTAGATGAATGTATTGCTATTAATGATATAAGCGTTATTATTATTATTATTATTAACAAGTTGTTAAATGTATTTTATTTTAATTTTTATGTTTACTAATTTGTTAAATATTTTTCAGAAAGAACTGATTAAAAAAAATTATATTATGTTATTATATATATTTTTTTACTTTGTAATAATTATGTACAGTGTCCTCAAATAAGGACATTTAATAAAAAGTGATTTTTAACTTGAATTAAAAAAAAATAATTTTTTTTACATTTTTCCTCAATTCCTTAGTACATGTACGTTGTGGTAAAAATAATTTTAAAAACAAAAATTAAAAAAAAAATTTTCATGCATGAAGAGGTTAATAATGGGCGCTGCGGATAAAAAATACCGTAGTAATTTTGTACATGCCGGAATTGCAACCAAGTCATTAAATATAGTCGATAAGGCGTTGAAAAATGTGCATTTCGGAATCCAACACTAAATACGGTTTAGTTCGTACATGTTAAGTTTTAGGTTAGATTATTTGAAATACGTCTAATGGCCGTGGCCAACTTATAAATAATTTGTCAGAGGCAAGCATTCGATGTAATAATATCCACCTCTTTTTTGCTACCTTTCCGCAGCTATCCTTAGAAATAACATACTAGAATTTAGCGTCCCATAAATAAATTTTATTGTTATTAATACTGTATTGTCAAACTATAAATACTAATATTATAAGAGAAAAAAGATTGAACCGTGATACATGCGTAAGACGATGATTGAAATATATACTGAAATGTTCTTCAAAAATTATTTTAAATAACTGGACTGTTAGAAATTTAATTTTAAATTCATATTTTAGTATACTTAACTATGCTTAAAACGTACCAATATCAAGAATTACGCTTTCTGTTGATGGGAAATTTGAATATCCATCTATTTTTTTTCGTAACGTCTTTTCAATAGAACCATTTAAATGTCTATATAATTATAGTTATACGTAGCATATAACATATATATATATATATATATATATATAATACATTTTATTTATTTCTTAGGTTCTTTTTATCACGTAGAAGACACTATCGGTACGTTTATACAATTTTTTCGATCTTATCATCACTTTAGTCTTTGTGATTAATAATGATCATCAAACGTGATCACAAAGAGATTTTTAATAATAATACAAAAAAAATAACTGCTGTTTATATTTAGAGAACGAAGATCTTCATGTATGAGATGTAACTGCTTACTCATAGTTACCATTAAAAATATATTTGTTTCTCTAGTACCTATAGTGGAATTTTAATAAGGCATAGTTTCAATAAATTTACAGATTTTTTTTCGTTTATTTCGCAAAAAAAACAATCAGTTGTGTAATAAAAAATACTATAAAAATTAGCTTTTGGTTTATATACCACTTATAGTGTATATATTTTGGGTTGTAAAAGTTAAATTTGAAGTTTTTTTTTCAGATTATGTATACAAATTTAATATTTTATCCTTTCATAAACCTTAACAAGTTTGTAAGTTTTTAAAATGTGATAACAATAAATTATTAAATCAAATTAAATGTAGCTAAGGAAATAATGGCATCAGATAAATAACTTTATCTTTAAGCGATTTTCATGTACTAAATGTGTTTGGTTTATTATATATTACATAACGAGATAAAGTTCATGTATTTTTATTATACATGTTCCGAACGTTATATACAAGTATATATATTTACAAATAGAATAATAACATTAAAAATGATGACGAATCATAAAAAAGCAACACAACGGTTTTAAGTGAGTTTTTTATTTTAAATATATTAATGCTTCAGTAGGTAACAGCATAGCTTGGAATTTGCATGAGATAAAAGTTATTTGGTAAAGTTTGGTTCAACTTTTGATCTATACAGAGTGATTTTTTTTCAGTATTAAATTTTCATATTTTTAGAATGATAATGTGTTTTTATATCTTTATTATTATTTTTATTGTTATCATTATACATTTTTTGGGCTCACGGAGTAGATAATGGTTTTACAATGTTTGAGGTTTTTTCGATAACATAAGATTAAAAGAGCTCAAAATGTTTCATATAAAGCTGCTCTATAATTGAATAATATTAACTACTTATTCAAATAATGAAACTGGACGATCAAAAGTATGAAAATAATATTTATCTTCTCGGAAAAATAAGTAAAATTATAAAAAAAAACTTTAAAAGAATAAAAAACAATATGCATTTACTTAATAAAAATAACTAAAATACATATCTCTAGTTTATACTAATCAAATTGTATAAAATTACTGGGTATAAAGAAAGTAAAAACAATAATGTCAAACATGAAAACTAAAAGAAAAGTCTTACCTGTAATTAAGTCATGACGAAAAGTTACAGACTTCTTAGGTTCAGTACTGTTATCGAGCTTTTTTAACGAACTAGTAAGATTGCTAACGATTGACACTGGTTTTTCTTGCGTGATAAAATACTCTTGTGGATTATCTGTGATTTCCAATATATCACTTTTCATTGATTTTTTTATATCGTAATCTATAGCATCCTTAGAAAAACCTATAACGCACAAATTTTAATTTTTCAGAATTGGAATAATCAATGATAGATTTATATTAAAATATTATAATTAAAATAATCAAATGTTCACTGTTAATTTTAATTTGACGATAAATTAATTGAATTTTTTTTGTATTAGATATAAATTATTCTAACCATTATAAGAATTTGTTTTCTTAATATTAAATAGTTAAAAGAAAATATACTCCCAAACCCTAGGTTAAAAGTATTAAAATAAAAAATATGCTATTTTTGATTTTATTTGATCTCACATAATCTATTTATTTGTAGCATTGATGTTTAATAAAATAATATTGACAATTATACTTTGCATTTTTTTGTTTTGGCAATTTAAAAATCAAGAATTAAAAATTCATGTATTTTAATTTTTAAACATCACTCGGTATCAGATATTTTAAAATAAATTCGTGCAAATATGTTTGTAAAATATCATTGATATCGGATATCCATATATGAATTAATTTTTTATCCATATATGAATTTATTTTTTAAATCCACGAGCTGTCAACTTTTGTATGAACACTGAATGTTTACGATATGTTGTTTTTTATTCATAATAATCATATATGAAAACGGTATAGTGCAGCGCAGTGACATTTTAGAAATTAACTATTTGACACGTTGACACCCTCGTAAATTAACAGTATTAAACTGACGTAGCTTCCGGTGTAATATAATAAGACCTATCTCCAACAATTGTGAATAAGCCGTCGTTATTGTATCGTTTACGTAGAATTGTTCTTACAATTCAATGGACTGCCGTCGGAATCCGAATGGTTGTCGTCGAACGATTGTTGTGGCTGCGTCTTCGATCGGTATACGGTTCGCAAGTCGAATGGATCTTCCGAATGCAGTACGTAGCAATAAAACACAACGAACCCCTAAATAATAATCGGACGAACAATTAATATGCGCTCGCATGTTTTTCATGCTCAGTAGAAAAAATTATAGTTAATAAGCTGTAAGGAATTAAATTACAACGCTATGAAGCTATCTGGTGTTGAGATGACTGGGCACCGCAGTCGGGAGGGGAGGGGTGAAGTTTTATGAGGTAATATGTACACTTACTTTTAAGGCGCACGACGAACTGAAAACGTATTTGGAAAAGTCTTCTTTGTATATTATGAGCAAGATACTGGATACGGTTGTGACGATGACCATTAACAGGATAATCACCGATCGCATGATAAGTCCCATCCTACAAACAATAAGTGTACAAAAATATTTATTATACATGCGTAACATCGTTTTTGAACGCAAATGATCTCGAGAACAACGAAATATGCGAATTTGTCCAATTTCATAATCTACATGTTTTTCGAAAAGCTCGAGAATGTATTAAAAACTTTCTTACTTAAAAATAATATGTACATTTGAAGCATGTTCATTTACATGAAGCAGTGCTTCATATTATATTTAGAAAGTTTAGTTTAAAATTTCTTTAAAGTATTTTTAGAGCAAAAACCCGGTCTTATAACTGACATTTCAAATAGTTTCTCTTGGTAGATGTTATAAAGGAAATAAAAATTGTACTTGAAAAAATAAATTCATATATTTTTTTTAATCAAATCAAATAGTATAGAATATAATATAATTTTAGTTTTACTAAAGTCAATTTCTATTAATAATAAAACGCTTTAAAAAATTATATTCAGATCATTGTATATTGTATATATATATTTTATATGAAATATAAATATAACTTGAAATTTATAAATCTATTTTTTTAGATATTTATTTATACTATATCGCATATATTTATTATTTTCAATGATAAAATTGAATAATATAAGTTTATTGGTTTACATTGGTATATTGTTGGAAAATAAATGATTTTATTGGAAAGTTAATTTAATTTTTTAAACTGCCTTTGAATCGTTTCTTTCATTCATTATATTTAAAAAGAAAATCGAATTCGCTAGAGTAATGGTAATCCGTATTTTAAAATTTCTTCTATACATACAGGAAAATTAGAAAATCAACTTTTCAATTATAAAGGTACTTATCATAATGTATACTTAATCCATAATATAATATTTGAAAACTTATGTTACAAAAAGTTATGTATATAAAATTGAATAAATTATATTGTTATTAAAATTTACAATTGATTCGACAAAAAGGCATTGATATGAGTACATATTATATATTTTTTGATAAAAAGAATAAAAATTAAAAAGTTCTGTAGATATATTATAAACATTTTACTTTAAACTATTTCATCAATTTTTCTTTTAAATTAATTATTTTTCTTTAGACACCTTAAAACCAAATAAAGTAAACTTTAAATGAACAGTTCTAAGTCTGTTTTCTTCTTATCATCTTAATTATTAATCAATTATTTTCATAATGAAGTTAGTAAACATGTATTTAGTGAAATGGTTATATTAAAAAATGTAAACTATTTATTTTACGCGAGTTGATTATTGAAAAATAATCGAACCACAGATGTCTTATAGAAAATAATCAATATTACAATATGCACGAACGAAACATATAATAAAATTAAAAGAGCATAATGTTGAAAAGAAAAAAACGAATAAATTAGACTAAATTCTTAAACGAACATCTGATTTGATGATTTAAGGAGTTATTAATTGAGAAGAGTTGAAAACGGAATACAGACAGGATTATTTTTAAATTTTAAAAGGAAAAATGATTAGTTTGCGTATTGTTATACATATATATATTTATTGAGAATAAAATAAAATGTGTACATTGATTGTACATTATGTAATTTTAATATACACATAAATAAATATAACATTCAAATAATTTTAGAGGAAGTCACCTATTGGTAAAATCTCCTAACATTTATCATTTGGATTTAAAATAATTAAGAAAGATCACAGTTTCAATTACGTTTTAGCCTGCAAGGGGGTTTATTGGGAATATAAGAAGTAGTCATATTTTTGATGAGAGGATTAGTATTTGAGTTGAATTATTAATATTTTTAGATTACAATTATTTTCAAACAACACTAGTTTCAATGAAGATATTTAATATAGTTTACTTTACTAATTGGAGAATATTGTACTGAATATCTATTACGCCATATTTTTGTAAGCATCTATAAATTAAATTTTAGATTCGGTTTGAAGCGAGGAATATATAGATTGTATACTGTTTCCTTACTGCAAACACTTTTTCAAGTTGGAAATTCACACAAAAACACATATTACTGTATTTTATTCGATCAGAAAACGGACACAGGTGGGATCTATCTTGAAAAGGTCATTTATAGATTTTCTCAATAGTTTTTTTTTTTCATTAAGGAAAACCGAAAGCAAAACTTTTAAATAACGTTACATTCCATCTACCAAGCGTTTATATTTAATTTGATAGAATAAATATTCTTGTGTTTTCCTGGCTTAAACATTTAACGGAAAATTGATCAACCAAAAGTTACTATATATTTAGTATAATTATATTGTAATTCATATTAATAATTATGATTAAGACTCGCATATTAGTATAATTTGCAGTATATTTTTCGAAAGAGTATCGTAAAATAGTAACTTAATAAATAATAGTAATATTAATTAAATAATAATTTGTACGTTAATATTAAACAGTAATGCACTAAGAGAAGAGAGTATTCAAGATAAAACCACAAAAGGGCAATTAATTATATTATTTAGATATTACCTTTTTCTCATGCTGGCCGGCGTATTCCGTTGTAGCTTTTGTTTGATGAATTTCAGTTTAGGTATGGTGATCGATAAAACTGATAAGTACATAACCACCAGCAGTACGAACAGTATGTAATAGATATAAATGAATGCAGAGTTCTCCCATGACCACCACGGCCGAATAGGTTTAGCGCCGATAATATTGAGACTCAACATGATACTGAGCACAAACAACACGGGCGCAGCTGAAAATATTAAACCATCAAGGGTGTGTAATGGTAGTGATTTTATATTTTAATACATTATATAGAATTGAACATTAAAATTACAACTATTCAAAATAATTCATACTGAGGACGTTGTTGAAATAAATAATAATAATAAAAAAAAAAAAATTATAAAATGTAACAATGTTCTACGTTGCATTAACTCGCGTACGATTTTAACCAACAACGAATATTGAAATCGGAAATAATTCAAATAACAATTATACATTGTATTAAATACATTAAATTACATTACATTAAATGCATACATTCATTAAATAAAAACACTTAAGCTCTTACATTATCTAATATATTACGTTGAAAATTGAGTTTAATATAATATTTTCAACACGTTTCGATGATACGTTTTTACGTGCATCAAGTGTAAACAAGATGACGAACACTTAATTTTTGCGAGGAAAAATTGTAAGGGTTTTTTCCGCCTTCGGAAAATGATAAATAACGAAAAACTATTATAAAACTGTGGAGGTTGTATTGATAAAATGTCAGTTGTAAGTTATATAGTATGTTAAATTCGTCGAGATTAAAAGATTTATTGTGGAATTATGGTAAGAACATGGAAAAAAAACAACACTTGCGTGTAATCGACAAATAAATTATCCTCACCTGTAGCCAAACCAATGATGGGTAGTTTGATATTGGAAAACTGTGGGAAACTGATTATCTCCGTGTAAACGATGAGCAACTGACTCAAATGTGACGTTATCTCGACTATGGTCACTATTTGTAGGCCCAACGAGAAGTACCCGTAATCGTTCTGCAAGAGAAATCAAATGTCGTTTAAATATTTATGTTTTACCGTTTATTTTTTTGAAAATCGAATCCCTTACGTTCTTCGTAGCGTATAGAAATATGCACATCTGTGAAACAACGGCCAAGCACAGTTGTATCTTCAAGTAAAGTATACATGTTGGGTGTTTAATCCATTGCGTAACCAATAGAACCAGAGACAGTGCAGATTGTACCAGACAACAAACACATCCGAATATGACTATCACATCTTGTTTCAAATTAATTTGACCTACTTCGGTCTATGGGGAAAAAAATGTAAGCAAATTAATAAACTTAAAAATTAATGTTTGTTTTTAAGCTAAGGTTTAGTTTTTCACTTTTAATTATTATGGCAATCAGTCGTATACTGTTTTATAAATTAATTAAACAACAATTTTTTACTGTGAATTTAATGTAAAATAAAGTTTTATTAACGTAATAGACTTTTTGTTACATATTTCTCCGTTCACAATGAGCATGACAATTTTTTAATTGTAAAATACACCCATTTTTCCGGCAAATATATGATTTATTTTTTATGAAAGTTTAACAGGATAACATAAATTTAATAGATTAAAAATAAAGTAATGCTCGCGAGTTTTGTACATTTAAAGTTTAAAGTTTCAAATGTGATATAGAGGGAAACAATAAAAGTAAGTAAAATGATAAATACGAATATATATTATACATTTTTTTTGGCTTAAATATTATCATTAAATTAGTCTGAAAATTGTTTTTCGTTGGGTACATTGAAGGTTTCCACAAATTTTGCATGAGCATATGAAAAGTTTTGCAAAATTGTTTTTATGTAAGTACGAGTATATATTTATAAAACACGAAGTATTTATATTTTATACATATCTTCCCAAGATTAGAAGAAACTTTTATTTGATCTAAAAATTAAATTATAGTATAGTCTGAAAAAAATATCATAATCTCATCAATACTCTGCATTTTAATAAATAATTTTAATTGTATATGATATCGAAGAATAAGTGTAATACTTACACGTACATACTATACATGGTATATAATTTATTAGGGTATAATCATTTAATCGAGTAGCTTAGAAAAAAATAATAACCATTAAAGTGTGAAGTGAAATTTAATAAATAGAAAAAAAATCAAATCAAAGTTCAGTACGGATAAGAGGAATGATGGGAATATTCATTTTTTTTGTTTTTTTTTTTGTTAAGACAAATAAAAAAATCTGATACATAAATTAATTAATAAAGCAATAAAATATGTTGTATAATTTTCTTTAAATATTATTTTACTAGTTGCCACTCAACATTTATATTATAAATTAATGTATTTAAATGAAATACAACATTTTTCTTGTCTAATTTCACGATAAAAATAAATTATAATGCATATTAATAATTTTAAATATTTTTATTTATCAAAACTACGATTAATTGATAGTGATGAAGATGTGGAGTCGAGCGAATCGGATCTTTTTCTATAATAAAAGTCATTAACCACCCTTTAACCGCCATTTAAAATTCTTGCACACACCATTATGCATCAGTCTGAATCGTTGGGTTTTATTAAACACTATAGATTAAATAGTTTTACGACAGCAAAAACGTGCTTATGAAAGTATTATTCGATTTTCGATGAATATCACCACAGTTTATCTTTCGACGGTGTTGTTCTTTAAAAGTAATTTATGTTACGTACGTATGTTAACGCGTTTAAGTGACGAGAAGAAAAAATATAACTAATAAATATCGCAACTAGATGGTTGGCGGGTAAACGATACATAGCAAGTTATCCATTTAGGTTGGAACGAACGGGATGTGGATATGCGATTTTTTCGGGTGTCACATCGAAATGGGAAAATTCATCAACAATATTGTTGTTTTGTGCAAAAGAATGTTTTGCATCAATATCCAAATAATTGACTCTAAATGTCGACGGAGTTGTTGGTTAGGGAATAGGGTGCACTGAGATTTTTTCCATAACTCTTGCAAAGTTCTATTTTCTTATCCCGAGCTTACCACATAGGGAGTACGCAGAGAGACTCCTGGAGGTCAGTGACGAAAGGAATAGTTGCTGTCGACGGGAATAAATATGAACGTAGTCTAGCGCTCTCTTGGCTATCTCGGTTATTCTTAAAATTGTTACGATGAACATTTAATGAAAACTCACATGTACAACATTTTTTATGTCTTTTTTTTTTTGTTTTTTTATATCCAGTAATATACTCGACACAAGCAATGCTTCTGGTAAAAAAAATTCTTATAGCTAAAAAGTGTAATTATAATAAAATGGAATTCGTACTAAGTACAACGAGTACACTACTACATATATATATACTACCTCGAGTTAAAAAAAAAAACAACTATCGTTTATTATTGTTTCTTCGAAAATGAAATATTTCATCATCATTCAAAGGAGCTACTTACTGGGACTCATCTATACTCAGTGAATTCTGGGTATAATGGTATGATTGTCGTTATACTGCATCAATACTGAAGTACTTAGGTACTATTATTATTATTGTTGTTGTTACTACTATTATTATGAAATTACACGCTTACAAATTCTACGTAATGAAGTTTAAACCATCGTTGCACTCGTAAAACGCTAAGCCACAATATTTACCCGCACGTTGGCCCATATCCGTTTAGAATACCTATATTTCAGCTATTTTACACGGAGAATTAATAACGTTGTTCATGCAGGACAAGGGGTGGATAACGGTCCGTCGACTCGGAAGGAATTTTACCACTATGTAGCTGTTATTGGTTTAATATACTAATATAAGAGGCATGATGGTGTGCGTTAGCCACAGTCACTCATAAGTGATCACCGAACATCGTTCGAGTCTAGTTAACTCGTTAGTTTCCGAATGGGTGGCTGTCCGGGTTTTTCGTAACGAAATTCATGGGCTCTCAAATAACGTGTGTCCAGAAACCGTTATTAATAAAAGTATCATATTACAAGCCCATTTTCATTTCACCGTAATTTTATGCAGCCATAGTTGCCGAGGCCAATTATGGCGATGGACCTACAAGGCTCGGAATAAGCCCAAAAAAAAAAAAAAAATAGTTGCCGAGGCCAAGATCGATAATTAAAAAGAAAAAAAATGTATACTGATATAGTAGTATAGCAAAAAATAAAACATTTAAACGTGTCCGACATAACACGCACGAACTATTCAAGTCTGATGGTGATAGGCAACAAGATACGGTTTATGACAACACACAAATCGTCGTAGCGAAACGAAACGTGGATTGCTGTACGTGATACATTCGATAGTTGTGCATTCCACAACCAATACCGACGTTATACGATTTATTATGCAGTTGATTACCACGAGTTCTGGGTTTTTAGAATTCGGTTCCTGATGTATTACCGCCCACAGTATTATTATTAAGCGTAAAAGGAGTTTTTTTTTTGGGTATTTCAGAAATTTTTAGATTTAAAATGGAAATTTGAAATTTGATTTGTGCCCAAGCCAAATAAACGCCTGAATTACGTGATTTTAATACAAACATAACAAAAGATTGAGTGATCAACGGTAGTAGATATTATCGTATTATCGGAAACCTAACCAATATTTTTTTCCAATCAGCTTTGTAAAATATAATTTACCCCAAAAACGATTAAAAATAAAAATATTCAGTGCACTTTCTTGGTGAACAGCTTAGAACTTCGTAACGAACAAGAACATTTATTGGGGTTTTGTAGTGCATTAGTTATCACTGGCAGAGCCATTCCGAGTCATTTTTTTATCCTGAGGCAGAACTGAAGCAATGCGCCCCCTAGGTTGTAGGGTTGTCACACTCACAGCTTTTAATATGTATAATACGATTCGGAAAAATCTGAAAAATTGTGATTAGGTTTCTAGCAAAACAAGAAATAACATTTCTTAAAATAAGTTAATTATTCAATATTTTTGCGCCTCCAGCTTCAGGCGCCCAAGGCAAGTTCCTCGCTAGCCTCACCCTAGTTACGGTTCTGATCCCCTCGACCGTGGCGAACGTAATAAAATAGCCTGTTACTGACCTTGGGCACCACGCGGGCTAGGACGGTGAACAGACCGGCCGTCGGGCACCGACACCGGGTAACGTTGGATGACGGCGACCAATCGCCGAGCACGCGGCACGTGGACACGTCCCATTGGCGCACCGCGTTGGCCAGCCGAGACGCGGTCACGCACGTGACGTTCCACGTGCCGTTGCTGGGCCGCGGCAGCTTCAGGTCGAACTGCAGATCGGTCACGATGGCCGGCCAGTGCTTGCGTATCCGGCGGCCGTCTTGCGCCACGCTCACGGCCACCACTGGGGTCACCACGGTGTACTCGATCTCACCGTCTTGGCTGCAAGAAAACCAAAGATTAACGCGCGCAGTGGCTCCGTACGCGTAGTGCGTGCGCTCGGGGACGCTAACCCATAGCATTTTTTTCATTTTTTTTTCTGACTGACGACAATGAACATAATATTGGCTGGCGAACTCGACCTAACCCCCGAGCGTCGAATAAGCGTTCCCGGCCCGGAGATCTTGTACGCGCCGTGGACGGAGCCGAGGGTCGCGCGAATTTTGCACGTGAAACATAGTGGCCGGCCCGAAGTGTCAGACGGTGCGGGACGGGGAACGGCTGCGGCGTAAGATTTCGAACATGCAACAACAATGCTCGCGCACCGTTAACGCCGGGGCCGATTGCTAGGCCTGGCGATTAAATTTCGTTGCGCACAACGAGATCCGAACACCGTTGAAGTCCCCGAATAATTTATCGTGAATAATATTTCGCGTTCGCAACATAACATTATCTTAGCAGCACGAAATTTAATTCCCTAACGTGCTACCATTCAAAAGCCCCAAAGGTTTTCAAAAGGCACCGTCAAAGTTTTCGCAACGTGTTTGCACGGGTGCAAGATTTTATTCCCTTACGGTATTCGCTCGAACGGTAAAACGCATTGGCAGTGGTCAAATGTATAACTTTATATCGTATCTTATCGGGTTCATCGATTGCCACTTCTCCCCCCCCTCCCAGCACGCATCTAAAACTTCGCGAATCCGCGGGTCGATATAAACGAAAAACGTTTTTATCTTAACCGATTGAAAATCAAAGCTATACGTGGTATGTATATTATAATACCGAATGCATAATATATACAGTAGAATCCGTTTAAGATGCTCTCGCTTAATACGATCTCCTGCGTAATACGCTCATTTTCACGAGTCCCTTGATTTTAAAAGCGGTTAACATGTAAATGATAATACGCTTTGTATTCCCGGATAAACAGGGCCGTGGAGAGAGAAACTCAGGCCCTGGGGTATATCTTTATTTTTTTTGCAGTGTTAATTAAATTTTTATCATTTATTGTGTTTAATTTTTAATAATTTGTAGTTCCTAATTTCCGGGCCCTCTCAAAAACTCCAGGCCCGGGGGAATCCTCACTTCCCTCCACCCTTCTCGACAGGCCTGCGTATAAGATACTCTATGTCAATGATGTTATTTATTATACAATTAACAATCATAATAATGTACAATATGATTATTGATTCAATAAGGCATATAAAATTTAATAATAATTATATGTGTATTAGTATACTTGTAAAAATAATATAATATAAATGCAATTATAATAAAAAAAATCATACTTTAACGTAAAATTTTTATTAGTCAATTTTTTGGTTTTCCCACATAATAAGATTTCTCGTTGGGTAGAACAGAATTGCATACATTTGTCCTTTTTGAAAACACGATTGCATATGTTTGTAGATGGATAACAAAAAGGTGGATAAGAAAAATAAATACATATGAAATGGTATGCAACGTTGTCAAATTTACTAATTTTATTGTACTACAATAAATATAGAATATAATGCTATAATAATTCATAAAAAATATTAATAATAAAGTAATAAATAAAATGAGGATAGCTAAATTAAAGAAAAGTAATTAATAAATAAATAAAATCGAAATTTTTTATTCGCATAAAATTATTGTTAATAAATTATTTGAAAATACTTAAATTTCGATTTTCTGACATCTATAACCAACTACTTTTAGTGAAATTCGGAAAATATCGTATAATATAACGGAAATAACGACATTTCATTTTATCTGATACATTTGATATCATTAACAATAAATAGCTAATAAAAGCGATAAAACATAAAGTATTTATTAATTTTTTCAAGTTCACTCGTATAGGCATGTGGTTAACACCAATACCGGTATAAAAATTGACACCAACGCTTAAAACTTTAAACGCAATCGTGTAGTTAAAAATCACGTAAAATCTTACGGAATCGAATAGCTTAAAAAGGTATCGCCGATAACGAACGTATGCAATCGTGTTTTATCCTTCTCATTTAATACGTTTTTATTATTTGTTCCCTTGGAAAGCGTCTTAAATGGATTTTACTGTATATATTGTTCATATGTACGAGTCACGAAAATCAAATTGGTCCGCGTTATTCACGTATATCCGACACGAGAGATTGTTTTCACAGTCATATATGAAATTATGAGATCAGGAGGTCAGATTCGGAATGGTGGCGAAAAGAAAATGTCCGGAAAAGTATTTGGACGAAGTGAGCATCTACGTATAAATACAATAACGCTGATTGTAAAACAAGAAACAAGAAGTTTTAAATAGAATGAAGTTTTTTTCTGTAATGCGTGCCGACGACTACCACTGGTGTTGTATCTGCACGCGGAATTACCCAATTACATTAAGGCTCCGTTCTGGAATGTTAAGCCGTACAGAATTAATGAAAATCCACCGAGTGCGTGCTATCGACTTCGTAATAAATCGCGTTTACATACCTCTTGTTTATGAAATATTTCCTTGGGAAAAACTCCGACAGGTTTCTGAACGTCGTGATTCCAACGTTGAATGATTTGTTTATCCATTTATCGATTTGAATGTCGAACATGGAAACCGTCACCTTAGGTTGTTGTCTATTGGTTTGCCTGCGAAACACCGAAAATTGTTAACCGTGATTGCACGCATGGCGTGGACGAATCATGTGTGATTACTTGTCGAAAAAATTATGACTAATAGTGGTCTCGTTGCGGTTTCTTATAATTTCCGATGTTGATGCAATGTAAATATTCTCGATTTGATTGGTGTAATGTTTAGTGCCTTTGTTCATTATCGAATAGAACGCTTTCAGTAGTGTCCAGGTTTCGATCATTTCCAACAGTTGAACGATTTTCTGCAATCCGGTAGAAAAATTTAATCATAACCTTGTATCAGTATTTTAACAGTCACAACATATAGTTGTAAGCTCATATATAATTACGTCCAAAGTGGATTTGAAGCTCATCTAAGGAAGCTGAGAATAAAATCAGCTAATAGTATTAAACACAGTTATGAGAGTAAAAAAATAATGAACAACTCTTGAAATTGTTATTGAAACAAATTTTTCTATTATATGTAAGTATAAGATGTTTAAGAAAAACCTTCAACATACCGGATTGAAATAGTAACTAAAATTAATTCCAAGGGATCTCCAAATCTACCATTGGATCACGTGATCTACATTATACCTTTTCGTTGACAATTGAATTGTTTTCCAATAGTATGCTCAGTATGTTGTTAAAGCTGACGGACGCTTGATCCAGGTCTGCCAAATCGTGCGAAGTCTGTAAGAACGCGGTGACGGTCATGAGAAAATCGATAACGGGCTCACCCTCACCGGGATACCATTTAGCCATGGTTTGTAGATTACTGTATAGGGAATTCAATGTTTTTGCGGCCGTTACATTGATTTTATCGTATCCCAGTGTTTTTTTGTGGAACTGAAAATTAATTATGTACATTTTTAGGATATATATATATACATTGATAAATATACTCATATATTTATTTATACGAGTGCATAATTTGTGGCCGGTGTGAAGTTGAGTGCAATGCTGGTGTATAATGGTGTATAAATACACATATAGTGTTGACAATATATTGCGACAAAAAAAAAAAAAAAAGGAATACAGAACGATAGAGAGAGAGAGAGAGAAAGAGAGTGGACAAGTGGGAACGCTATTATAAAAGGTTTTACGGATAAGAGTGGTGTAGTGTTGGCGTGCGGATGTACTATAGCTGTTGTGCGCGTCCGGTAAATTAACTTTTTTTGATTTTTATTAAAGTGGAGTTGGCGTAAATAATGTTTATCGAACGATGAAAGTTTTTTTTTTTTTAAAAAACACCTCGAACAACTGGAGAACGTGTACACTGTCATAATTACGTATGGGGGCAAAAACCATTGGCATTATCCGTGGGGTGCGAGAAGATACAATAGTAGAAGTAGTGTTAGGAACTATACAGGAATTACTATAGGCATTTTTTTTCAAATTCAGTCCACTATCTATCAAACTATATTAGCTACTTGAGTAAAATATTTGAAAAGCCAAGTAGTTTGATTAAAGTGATATTTAAAGAATAACTCTATGATAGAAAATCCTTCTTTAACTCGAGACCAGCTCTCCCCCCCCTTATTTGAATATAAAAAATATACGTATTATGATATATAAAAATGGTGTTCTATTTTATTCGAGGGTCATTAAAATTATATTAAATAATTATTATTTTGCACTTCGACGTGCAAAATAAATTTATAAACAAATTGCGAACGGTTTTGTGAAGGGAAGTTGTCGCTGCTAATGCATTTTGAATCGACTGGAATTCAAATGAAATAACGTATATAGTTAGTTATAATTAGCTTATAGAAACCACACGAAAAGAGCGGTAAAATAGTTCTATCCCTTCACGTATTAAACGTATTATTATAGTATACTTTATGTATAAGTGATATTAGAGGGAGGATATAAGGTATGCAGTAGCACTCTTAGAAAAATAAAATAAAATGTTGAAGAACCAGAACGCATATTAATAGTATCATAATATGATAAATAAGAAACAGAAGACGAATAATGAATTAATTATGAACATCAACACCATGAAAATCCAATCTAATAACACAAAACAAAAGTACACTTCGTCAACGGATACTAAATGGTTTATGGAACACAATTAGGCATAATATTTAACAATTTTTATTCTGTATATAAAGTGTTTTCAAGCTGATACGTGTTGTTATCGTCTTTTATCTGTACAACATAGCATATACTGAATTTTTGACAATCTGTTCGACTGATGTGTTGAAGCTGTGTTGAATAGTAAAAACATATTCGAATTCGACATTAAGTTTTGTCGAGATCGACCTGGTTCTCTTTTTGGATTTATATTCTTAACATCCATAAAACGAAAACATGTCGATTTAATTTAATATTACGATAAAAGAATGGAACCATATCGATATCTCTACAAGCAGTGATTTTCGTCGAATTAGAACGGTTTTTCAGAAACCACATCAATTCAGTTTGTGCGCATCAGGTGGACAAAATATTCATAGTTCGTTTCACGTTGCTCACGCGAAGGAAAAATACAACACGATATTGCATCGTACAGTGGGAGAAATATGAGTTCTAGTCCGCCAAAATGTATATAATTAAACCATCGTTTTAATTCTTAATTTATATGAATATTTATATGCTGATACTAGGTGATAGTAAATGTAGCATTATCGATTATATTTATTATTTCTATTAATGTGGCCCGGATATAAGCTATGTTTAATGTCATTAGTTTATTGAATTCTGTAAAGTATATAATTTATGTTAGTATGTTGCAACGTGTAGTTTTAAGCTTTTTCCAATAATTTAGGAAACTTTTTTTAAAAATTATTAAAACGGATGAGCTGATGTTGGGTTTAGAAGTTACGATTTTCATTTAAATCTATTATTTTGATTAAAATACATACATGATTTAGGCTTTAAATAATTAAGTTATTTACGTATACATTTTACATTAATCTATCGTCTAAATATGGTAGTAAATATTTGTAGAGCTTCTTAGAGGTTAAATTTCTAATTTTATATAAACCTAAATGCTTGTACTTTAATATGATATACTAATTATTACACGCTGACATATTTTGAATAATTGAACGAATTATGTTATTTCAAACAAAATTATTAATAATCAAAACATAAAAAATAGTTTGTGTTTAATATATGTTTTTAAAAAAGGATTTAGAACACATTAAAACAAAATGAAAAATATGTTGATGGATTATTTAAAAAATAGACTTGGTATAAAATATAATTTTGATAATGAAGAATTTAAAAAAATGTTTGTCGAATAAAATTAATGGACTTTGTAGTACTACGTATAAAAAATGGAAGAAGTCGAATTATTGTACAAGAAAGTTTAAAAAAAAATGAATTCTGACTACAATTACATTTTATTGTTGACTAGGTACATCACAATTTATTACTAAAGTATTGTTAAAATGTAATTGTAGCCAGAATTCACTTGAATATGTACTTAATCCTTTTTTTCAAACATATATCAAACAAGAAACTATTTTTTCTATGTTGTTTATTCATAATTTTGTCTGAAAAAACATTAATAATTCATTTAGGGGGTAAAAATGAGTTTGTCATATTAAAGTATACGAATTTAGGTTTAAATAAATATATGTATATATATTAAACCGTTAAGAGGCTTTACAAATATTTGCGATCTTATTCGGGGTAAAATGAATACGTAAAAAACTTAATTATTTAAAACCTAAATCATGTATGTATTTTAATCAGAATAATAAATTTCAACAAAAATCGTAACTTCTAAATCCAACATCAGCTCTTACGTTTTAACAGTTATTAAAAATAATTGTTCTAAACGATCGGAAAAAGCTTAAAACAATGCGTTGCAACGTACCAAACATAAATAATATACTTTACAGAATTCAATAAACAGTGCTTATCATCAGGCCACGGTTATAAATATAATCGACAGTGCTATATTAACCATCAATATTACCTGTGCATAAATATTCGTAAAAATCAAAAATTAAAATGATGGTTTTAATTTTGGCCTGGTAGAACTCAGGTGGTTTTTCCAACTTGCATCGGTTTGGAATTGGCTGACACGATTGCATACGTTCGTTATCGGCGATACCTTTTTAAGCTATTCGATTCCGTAAGATTTTACGTGATTTTTAACTACACGATTGCGTATAAATTTTTAAGCGTTGATGTGAATTTTTATACCGGTATTGGTGTTTACCACATGCCTATACGAATGAACTTGAAAAAGTTAATAAATACTTTATGTTTTATCGCTTTTATTAGCTATTTATTGTTAATGATATCAAACATATCAGATAAAACGAAATGTCGTTGTTTCTGTTATATTATACGATATTTTCCGAGTTTCACTAAAAGTAGCAGGTTATAGATTTCAGAAAATCGAAATTTAAGCATTTTCAAATAATTTATAAACAAGAGTTCCTTTAGTATAAAAACTGTCGATTTTTTTTATTTATTAATTATTTTTATTTTATTTAGTTATCCTCATTTTATTATTTTTTTTTTTTATAAACTATTATAGAACTGTTAGTACATTTATTCTATATATTAAATAGATGATAGATGTATTAGATATAATATGGTGAAACTAGTAAATTTGACAACGTTGCATACAATTTCATACGCGATCGTGTTTATTTATTTTTCTCACCCACCTTTTTGTTACCCATCTACAAACGTACGCAGTCGTGTTCTACCCGATAAACCACCGAGGGGTTATGTTTTCGGTTCTCGCTCGTGAATCGTGCGACCACGTCACGTAAACACATTCCATCCCTCCTCCCCTAGATTCGTACTCACGTTCGCGGTGATCTTGCCGAGATCGTCCGGCGGGCACCGCGAGTAATCGGCCGTCTGCCACTCGGTCACGTTGTCGGCGGTCAGCACGCACGTGCGCGACGCGTAGCTGGTCGACCGGTTCTTCGGGCACTCCACTGACGCCGCTTTGCCGGCGCCCGTCAGCGGCCACACGCCGTCCGCCGCACAGTGCGCCGTCAAGTTCGTGTCCAGCACCTCCACGGACACCGTGGCGTTACGCCTGCCCGCCCGGTTTGACGCTTCGCACACGTACTCGGACGAGGACTGCAATCAGACACAAGCGCGTGCTGTTACACGGTGTGGACACCGCTAGGGATGACAACGATATATCGAAAGTATCGATACACGAAGTCGATATATCGTAACATTTTACATTGATAAAACGTTACCGATGTACCGTCTAGATATTATCGTGTCTAACGATATTTTAATGTGATTAATCATCGGGAAATCACCAATAGATATTATTATATACTATTATAAATTATTTGGCATGTTATATAAATAAATATTAATATATTGATAAAATAAATAAAATAATATTCATTATAATTTTCTAGGCGTGTACTGCAATATATAAAAATTACAATTTAAATTTATTAATATTGTTCTGGTTTTATAAAATATTTTATATTTTTGTTAAATTTACATGCTTCGATTAATCAATTTATTTGTCATTATTCCTGTTGTATCGATTAACAAGTACGGCCTCGGCCTACGGCTTATGATTATAAATTTTACTCAAATAAATTACAACCTATTGCCTATGTCCTATGTGCAAGTCTATAAACCTTTTTTTAATATTGGAAACATTTTCCGATATATATCGCTATGTCGATATATTGTGGTATCGATATTGGGTATGAAATATATCAAAATTACGATATATCGATGGTTAACGATTTTTTGACATCTCTAGTCACCGCACGCGAAACGGGTGTCGCCCGTGTCGGGACACGCGCGGGAGAAAAAAATAGACCAAGAGGATATGTGACAACGTTGTTGTTCCTTCCGCAATTGCACACCGCCGGCCATGTCCAAACGCGTCTCGTATCAACGGTTTTTTTTTTCGTTCTGCGGTGAGGACCGTAAGTGATGTTGGATATTCAAGTGTTCGCACGCAAAACGTGACAATAAATCGTTCGTCAACCGAACTCGGAGATGTGTCATTGTCAGTTTTAACGATATGATTTTATTCCGTACTTACATGCATACTTCACGAGATATTTCGAAAATATATCAACCGAATGAGGTTTATAGAAATTATTTGTAAATATTTTCAAAATCGAAAATCAATATTTTGTAACATTGAAAACTTTTGTTCATCGTGACTAAATGTACGTACATTTTTATTTTTTATTAAATTGTTACTTTTTATTATGTGTAACTGAATAAAATAAGGTTTTTAGTGATTCTTTATATTTTCTGTAATATTGTAACACCTTAACGTATATTAGCTTTAGAGTAAAATGAAATATTATGAGATAAAATATGCGCACAACAAATTGTATACAAGTTAAAAATATTTTTACACGAAATATCTTAGATTGGGTAAACGTATTTGTTTTACAATGATGCGCTTTTCTGCGATTAATATTTTAAATAGTACTTAAATCGTAGCCTTAAGTTTAATGCAGCATACTTTTTCGATGGAAAATTTGACACAGATGGTACCATATAGTAGAGTATTTTTCTACAGTAGTTTTTTAAAGCGGAGGGAAAAACTGAAAACAATTTGGAATGAATGTAAAATCTCATCCCACCAACGTTTATATTTCTTTTGATAAAAAGAGTTATGTTTTAATTTATTGTTTGAAAATTGTATAGAAGGCTAACTTTAAATTATTTTTAATATTATTATTGGAAATACTCTGCTGGGTTTCTATCTATAGTAGTACTTTACTACTCTCATTAAAATATATTTTATACAGACCAGTAAAACTTGATACATCAATTATATTTATTTAATAATTTATTCTAATATTTTTCGATTAACGTATCAAATATGATGTTGATTACTGATAAATACTTTGATAAATATTGGAAGTTTATATAACTATAGAACGTACACCAACATCATTTTGGGTATTCCCTTTCTATTAATGGTAATCTTAACTTAAAATATTTAAAAATAATTGATTGGCTTTTGTTTGATTTTAATTTTTACAGCAAAGGTTCAAAAAAATATTCCACTTTAGAATAAAAAATAATATGAGTATGTTGTTATGGAAATAAAAATTAAAAAATTTTAAAAAAATTACAATACGAAAAAATAGAGGTATTAATTCAATGTCAACAATTTTGGATGGTAAAAACTTAAAATAATACAAAAATATTTTTTTTTTAAATTACAATAATCCATTATAGTAAGATAAAACGATCTGGTATATATCGTATATATATATATATATATATATATATACGAGTATATATGTATAAAAATAATAATAATATTATTTATGCCAAAATAATAACTAAGTGTATGATTTACAATCATAAAGTCTATCGGTATGGTATTATCATTGATCTGATATGAGCGAAAAATTAATTGAATTCATAATATCCAGATCGATTGTAAGGAAGTTTTTTAAAAAGTTAATTTTTTAACGTAGTAGTGTTGGAAATTAAAAATAATTTACCTTTTTCATTAATGTTGAGCAGATAGTATTTGAAAATATTTTATTTATTTTTATATTTTAATTATTTTGATTATTATTATATTTGAAATATTTGCTCAACCCTATGTGAGATCATTCGATATGTTGCACTATTGACGGTTTAATATAGGGGTTCATAATCTTCAAATACAGGCGTTTTCGATAAAATATTTCAGGGAATTGATGTTTAAATACAAATTTAATCCAACTTATAAAAATAATATTAGGCTAATTGGTATAATTGATTCTTGATTATGATTATATTGATATGATAATGATTATATTTATTTAATTTGATACATTTTGGTTATTATTATAAAATGTTAGTTGATCGAAATTTTTTTTTTTATAAATTGGTTTTCATTATTTGAGTACTTGCAGTTTTCTGATTATTTTTAAATGTGTTATACAACATATCTTTAAATTTATATTAAAAAAGAAATTATCATGTTTCTCAGTTGCCAATAAAAAGCCATTTCTAAACGAGTAAAAAACACATATCCACTTTCTAATTAGAAATACATAGTTCAACGTTTGTATAGTATAATTTATATGTTATTTATATTATTGCATATTAATATTGTGACATTGAAGTGTTGGGTTAGGTGCTAACATGTGACAAGTCATAACCAATAAATCATGTTTTGACTGATTAATTGAGCAACACTATTGCTATTTCATAGGGTTATTGTATGTGTGCTATAAAAAAATTAGTCGGTTGTTTTAACGCATTATTTTGAAATGTTATAAAATTTTAGAAATTCTACGTTTCATTCTCACCGTTATATTCTTCACGTATAGTACGCTACCACCGCGATGCAAATCCTCCCAATATACGTTTTTGTCCATTTTCACCAAATGCATGTCACTGTCCAACCACGTATTTCCAAACTTGGTAAACTCATTTTTCAAGAAACACATAATGGTCACGTTATCACCCTATGACAATTATTGGTGTTAAAAAAAAAAAAAAATAACAGACACATTGTGATGTCTAAATTACCGGCTTCACCGTTACAGATGGTTTCATTATAACTTCAGGCAGAGGGAGTACGGTCAACGCGACCGACTGACATTGTTGGTACGAATGGTCTGACACCTGGCACGTAAACTTTCCAGAGTCAAAGACGTCTGCGTGTTCAATTACCAAAATAGAGGATTTATATTCGGATTTTTCAGACTTTTTTATTTTTGTCCAGATATATCTGAAATACGAAAATGTCATACTTTAAAACGGCACTTGTTAAAAATATAAAATTTATAAGAGGCAGGTCCGTGTAGGTTTTTTATTTTGTATAAACATTATAAACATAAAAATACAGTTATATTTAAAACGAAACAATAAACATTTTTTGTTGAACTGCCATTATTATGTTATAAAAGGCATGGAGTGGTGCAATTGTATAGACGCAATTTAAATTATTATTTTAAGAGGGATAAAAACATTTAAATCAAACAGACTTGTAGAGGGAAGGGGAACTTGATCTTCCACATTCCTTTAATACAACACAATACGTACTCGTATATCATAAGAATGTTGTTAAATATTTTATTTTTTATTTCTTGCATATTATGTTCACTAAATTCGACAAAAATGATATTAGCAATAAGAATACTGAAAAATGTGTAGACGCACAAGATATTGTAACTGTAGTGTTCTCTTTTATTTTAAATCGTGTTTTTATTCGATCATTTCAAAGGAAATCAAAACAATTTTATATTAATGGCTGAATTAAAATGTATTATTATTATAGTAATATATTTTTTATATTTATAAGATTTTAGAAAAATTTGAAAATCCACCACTTGTCTATGTATTATTTATATCTAGTTATCAGACATAAAAACCGTAATAAAATTTATCAAGTTGACATAACTCGCATATTAAGTTTATTATTTGTACTTAAAGCTATAATTTTTGCGAGGTTAAGATCCTTCTACGTCTTGATTTTACGTGAATGCACATTTTCCGATCGGCACTGTGGTTAATTTGCAACCTGGCATCAGTAGTTTTCAGACTCCTTATCTTTTAGCGACAAAGTCATGTTCAATTTAAACCAATCAAGAATTCTAACACACTCAAAATACAATCTACCTAATATGTCTACAATTATACCCAAATGGCTTGAGACACCGTGGCTTGACTAAAAATAATTGATGGTTTTTATGAAATCAAAGTAAGTATAAAAATATCAACGAAAAAAAAAAAATTATATATTGGATATCAATTCATATTTTATAGTTTAAAAAGTTCATTTTTTTAGATTTTTAATTTGTTTGGATTGTACGGGAAGTAGGTTCAAAGTTGAATACCTGGTTGATATTGAAGTATTGATTGGGTTATCATCTTTATACCATTGGAACTGCATGTCTGCTGGACCCTGGGCTGAGCAGGATATAATGAATTGTTCCCCTTCGGGTATCGAGTCCCTGGGTTTATTGACGTCCATTTTCTATGATAATCAATACACGTGGATAGATAAAATAGATAAAAATAGAATTCGAATTTCAACGTACATTTAACCAAAGTGATGGCTCTTGTTGAAAGGATAATGCAGTTTTCACTAAAGGCACGGGCCTGGGTCCAGGCAAAGAACCATTTGTAATCATTTGATTAAGTAAATCTTGTACGATTTTCTGATCTGATTTTCGAGAATAAAATTCAAAATGAACATCTCCAGATTTTTGCCTGTAAATATATCAGTATGAATTATAATAAAAAAAAAAAAATTGTATTAGTTATTAATAGCATATGTGGTATTCACCGAATGTATAGTGTTACTTATGTTGATAGTTACATTTTTTATTTATATTATAATGTTTTAGCTAAATATATTACACTTACAAAATTGATGTTATTCTTAAATCACGGAGTTCGTGTGAATTCAAATGTTTTTTGAACTGTAAAAACAAAATAATTTATAATTAATAGTTATATATTGTTTTATAATTATTATTGTTTAGTTAGCTTATAAAGTGTTGTATAATATGAGTCAATAGATATTTTATAAACCAAGTTTCTAAGTATTTATTATTAAGAATTATATATAAAGTATATTCAAAATATTTAATTAAATGCAGAAAACAAACAAAGCTAAAAGTCATACATACAACTTAACTAGTCTTATGGGTTAATGTGAATGCATAAAATTGTATTTATAAAATATTCTTTAACTAGCGTATACGAACTTCAGTGTAGTTTTAGTGAGTTTTTATTGGTAAGGTAGGTGGAAATATTTAAAATAAGATGTGGGGAACGCGTTTCTGAAATGGAATTGGATAGGACTGTTCCTAGTTCGGGTTTTTTTAAGTAAGTTTTGGAGGGTAAATATGGTATACGTTTTGGTGTCGATACGGACTTAAAAATATTAAATACCCAATGTAATATTTACATTCAGTTTTAGAAGAGTTACACACACAAAATGAAATAATTAAAAATATTTTAATGATATTTTAAATGTACAAACTTATTTTAAAAATAATACCTTATATCAATACATTTTAGATTATAATAAATAAAAATAACCAAAGTATTTGTATTACTTGACCTATCTGTGTCTAATAAGAACTAATTTTAAATAATCTCTCCTATAAAAATAAACTATCTTTATGTAAAACAACTGATTTTTCTCAATATACCTATTCCTTCCTTTATTTTTGAAAATTCAGTCGCAATTTTATTGACTTAGTATACCTGACGATGATTTTTCAATTAGAAACTGGTCGTACTTTACAAATACAGCAATATTCCAGACTAAGCTTTTATTTATTTAATTATTTCTATATATAAATTATTTGTTTATTTATGTTTACATTAAAAAGTTCTCTGTTCAGCAATTTTTGTATTGAATATTTGTTTCTTTTTCTTCATTATTTACTGATGAATAAACGGTATAATAAGGTACTTTAGTGATGAATATTTTGTATTATAAAAAATACATAAAAAAATTAATATAATTGAAATTTTATTTCCGTAAACGAAGATTATTTCTATCATTAATATTATTTCAAGCTCAAATACAATAACATCGTATTTTGAAAATATTGTTTGTGGAGTTTAATTTAATTCTTATAAGGTCAAGATTTCGTTAAAAGCAATATTGCTACTAGACTAAAGAAAAATATAAGTTATAATTTATTATATACTTTTTTGCATTTATTTTACTACGTCAAAAAATACAGAATGGGGCAGTGGGTTCTGACGAATTTTAGTTGTAGTTTATTGGTCAAGTATTAAAAACAAAGTAATGAAACAAATTGTATTTTATTCAACATAAAGATTATTTTTAATTGTTATAAACAAAAATCTTAATTTTTAAAAATTACATTACTTAAGTGGCCGCCTCCATTTTGTATACAGTCGGTTATCCGTTTTTTCATACTGTCCATAACTCTCTGTAGGATATGCACATCGATGGCTGTAATTTCCCGTCTAATGTTTTCTTTTAACTCTAGTAGTGTATGTGGTTTATTAGTGAATACTTTAGATTTCAAATAACCCCACAAAAAGAAATCAGGAGGAGTCAAATCAGGAGAACGTGGTGGCCAGGCAATATCACCATTCCGCGAAATCACACGATTCGGAAACATTTGTCTAAGAACAGCCAATGAAATACTCGCTGTATGGCTAGTAGCACCATCTTGTTGGTACCATAGATCTTTATCATGTACTCCTAATCGTTGTAATTCAGTTGGCAAGAAGTTGTTCAACATTTTCACATAACGTTCAGATGTTACGGTCACAGTCACATTGTTTTCCTCGAAAAAGTACGGACCCAAAATGCCAAACGATGTAACGCCACACCATACAGTTACTTTTGCAGAATGCAAAGGAGTTTTATGTAACTAACTAGGTTGTTCTGAAGCCCAAAAACGATAGTTTTGCTTATTTACCACACCACATAAATGAAAATGTGCTTCATCTGACATTATCAAATTAGACATCGATTCATGATTTTTGTGTAACAATTGCTGAAACCTGTTATAAAATCCAATTCTCGTACCAAAATCATCCGGAAGAAGTTGTTGCACTATCTGTACTTTATATGGAAAAAGTTGTAAATCATTATGTAAAATTCTTCGAACAGTTCTAGTGGACAAGTTCAACGACTGAGAATGGCGTCTTGCCGAGCGTTGTGGACTTTGATCGATTGCTTGACGTACACGTTCAATGTTTTCTGGTGTTCTTACACTTTTTTGGCTGCCTTTATAAGTTGTTAAAACAGAACCAGTATTTTGAAATTTGTGATACCAGTCTAAGATTGAATTCCGTGAAGGAATATTACCTCCAACAGGAATATTGAATTGTCGTCGAAAATTTCGTTGTACAGTTATAGTAGATTTACACTCAATAAACGTCGTAACGGCAAAAATGCGCTGATTCACAGGTCACGTATCCATGATTACTGATAAAGTAAAACTAAACATCATAAACTTTAATCTGGTGACAAACTAGTTTATCTTATCTACTTTAGTACCTAACCGCAGTACTCGATAAATCATCAGAACCCACTGCCCCACCCTGTATTACAGGAAAAAAAATGATGTTCTTCAAGCTCTAGAATAATGGAAATATAAGAGACATATGGTTATAAAATAGGCGATTAAAAAAAGTAATTAACTGCATGTAAATTAGTGGTGTGAAATTAATCCGGATTCTCCGAAAATCCGAAAAATCCGGATTTCGGATTTTCAGTTGTAAAATCCGAATATTTGGGTTTCACATTATGGATTTCTGTATTCTAAAGCAGAAAATTAAATTTTTCGTTATAAATTCTAATATAAATAAACGAACATTTTTTATTTTATATAAAAAAAAATTATTTGAACTTTAAAATTGTAAAACCGATACATATTTTTGCATTTCACTTTGTGAACAGTATTAAGTTTTAGTTATAAAAAAATAAAAAATGTCTTTATATGATATAGCCCTAGTTTGAATTATTCTGTAGGATAAGTACAACTGAAATGAATAATCGGTTAAAAGGAAAACCCACTTGTTAATAAATTAAGATTGTAGACTTTGATGGTAAACTTCCACTTTGACTTTTGCGATAAGATACAATATGAAAACTCGACAATTATTTTGTAATAATAAAGTTTATACTGTATGTATACAAGATGTGATTAAGCACTGTAACCTTCATTTTAAATCATGGCACCAAAAGTTTTAAAAATGCTTTAAAAGTTTTTCTATAAATATATTAATTCATTAAAAAAAAAAAAAAAATGTGTATTTATTAAGGCTTTAATATAAGGAATCCATAAAATATATTAATTCAATGTTTCAAAATCCGAAATCCGGATTTCGAGTAAAATCCGAATATGAATTCCGAAATCCGGAATTTTCTCCGAATCCGGATTACGGATTTCGAATTTCATGAATCCGGATTTTCGAACTTCGGTAAATCCGGATTTTTCACACTACTAATGTAAATCAGTTAGCACACATTTATAGTAAAATTATTTCATAAATAACAAGTTGACAGAATATAAATATTTGACTAATAAAATTTGCCTTCTAAATTATTATTGATTAAGTGATTTTATTCATTCTACCGCACATAAGGTAATAACTTTCTTTTATCGTTTCAAGGTTGTTTTCTCCATTGATCTGTATTACAGAAATATATGAGAGCAGGTTCTCTCAATCACTTGTACAACAAAGAATGAGTGGGCTGTTCAAAGTGAAGTATATGTAACAATGGGACGTCATTTGCGGAGGTTCAAATTTATTGAAATGAATACACCACCGAATGGATTTGACGTGTTTATTTGTTTTTCGTGTTTCTGATCATCGTGCGGAATGCATATAGAACCACCATATGTCGAAAGAAAAAAGCAATACGAAAAATTGTATTAAGAAATTATTTCAAATAACATATGCAATCTACAATAGGATTGCAGCATGCAGATTCGTCAAATACTTTGTACTATCGATATGATATAGACGTAAAAAATAACACTTTGAAAATAGTTCGTAGATATCGTAATACATATGCATATCTTAAGTAGTTTTTTTTTCAAAAATATTATTCCTTAGTTTTATTGCACTATATATAACTCATACTTGAACATAGTCGCATTGTTTTATAATTTTTTTTTTTAAATAATCCTACACATCTTTCGCGGAAAAACGTCCCAAGTGACTGATACTCGCTTTCAAATTATATTACTACGCATGCACACCATATATAATACGCCACTGATACACTGATATAACAATAGATATCACTCCGTAGAAAATCATGTTAACCCGTCGTCTTTTGATAAAAATCCCACGAGAGCTATTCACACTTCAACACTACAGTGGAACAGAAATATGATTTTCCTTACGATGAATAAAAACTAACTTGAAAAAATCTATAAAATATACATCGTTTTACGCTCTCTCATCGAATGACGGATGGTTCACGGTTATTACTTGTTTTTCATAGTTTGATCCGAAAAATACTTGAATACCTCAGTATCAAATAAAGTCAAATAAAGTAATAGATAAACATGTAGTCGATGTCTAAAATGAAAATAAAAGTACTTTACTGCTATATTTGTAATAATCATTTGTTTAAACCTTTACTCAAAACAAATGTAACTTTTTTTCAACAAATTTATATTGTTTTTAACCGTTCCTTTGTCATGAGACGAGTTACAGTTATAAATATAATATGTATAGGAAAAAATGCATTAAGATTTTGAAAACTATTTAAATATATATATATAATCATATTTGAATTGTTTTAGTTCGGAAATACAACTTAACTATTTACAGTTTCTTTTTTTTTGTTGAGTGTATTATATGAATATGTTTCGTTGATTTTATTTTATTTCTATGTAGGTATATCCTATTGTTCAACTTTAAAAAGCTTTAGTTTAAAATGTTTACTTTTACTACCTTCAGTAAA